CCACCATCTTGGGGCGGCGGGGTGCGCGCCCACGTGCGCGGCGCCGCCTTTGTGCGCGGCCCCGGCGCCCCTCGGCGGAGAGGAGCGAGAGGGAGACTCGGCTCCCAGGGCGGGGCGGGATGGGCCAGGACACCGACTGGAACTCCAGGCTTATCTCCTGTGTGCCCGTAACACGCGGAAAACCGGTTAATGTATAATGGCGCGTGGAGGGCAGGGCTGGTGTGTCACCCTGCAGGAGAACCTCCTGCCCCGCTTGGGCGATAAAAAAAAAACAAACAAAAACCTGTGCATGTGACACCTGGTTTTCCCACAGAGAGAGAAAAATGGGGCTTAGAAATATTTTGTGAACGAGCTCGGGAGAGGGAGAGTTGTTGTAGCGGGCAGCGCTCACCCGAAATTTTATGTTGCAGCGGAGTCGGGAGGTGGCAACAAAGTTGTCCCGGGTTCCGAGCCAAGGTCAATGGCACAGCCCGTTATCTGGCAGCTCGACTGATGGATTCATTGCACAATGCCTTTATAGATGGTGTCGGGCTGGAAACATACCCTTCTGCGATTTCTGGTTTTATTTTCTTGTTTAATAGCCATGAAATTACTATAAACGTTAGTGTGTGGGGGTTTTTCCTGCCTTTTTCTGTAAGTTAGAAGATGCTGGTACCCTTCCCGAGCTGCCAGTACAGCGAATGTCTTTCTTGAACATATACTAGGTAAATATAATTCGGTTGGAAGAGGCCTGATTTCAAAATACAGGCACTTGGGTTTAAACAAAAAAATTATTTCCTATGTGGTATAAATACAGCCTTGGGGCCGTGTTGACGAGTATAAAAGAGAAAGGCACCCAGCAGAAATCTTGCAAGGTCTTGTTACAGCTTTTTTCTTGGCTTATAGCTTTTCCTGGTCTCTGACACTCCAACATACTTCACCACTTTATGTGACTTTAATATTTAGTTTTGGATGCTACTCCAGCTTAGACTTGTATGTGGTTTGAACACCTGAGCCACTGCTATGGCTTTTTGCATCAACTGTAGTTGGAAATCCATTGTTAGGGTCACCTTTGTCAGTGATTTCCATTCATTCTTCATTTCCTGGTACAACTTCTTGTCATTCTCTTTCAGTCTTGCATCCAATGAGATCACTGGCTGCTTCAGAATATTGTTTGTGTGTAATAATATGCTTTGAGGCTAAGGGTGATAGTAGCAGCTTCACTGGGCTGTGTAAGAGTAAGGGTACTGACCATTATTGCACTGCAGTCCTTTGTGGTATTCTGGATGGAGTACCTGTATTGCTGGGATGAGGCTCGGCCTTGGCATCATGCAGGTAGACATATTTGAGGCTGAAATGAGTGGGAGAACATCAGATCAGATTTTGGACATAGATTATCTGTGTGGAAACAGTTAAAATTGTTTTCTGACAAGTTATTTCCAGGAAAGCAGTGCCAACAGCTTGAACTTGCTTAGGAGCTGGTTCCCAAGTGTCAGTTTCTTCTGTATCAGAACAGAATCTATTCCTTAGAAGTTTAATGCCTGACTGTTTGTGATTAACTCCAATCACCTGCCATGTTCCCCAAATTAGGTGTTTGATGCTTGCCTCTGTCTTCTTGAACAGTGTTGTCCTGGTAGTTTCTGTGTTGGTCTACTCCATGTGAATGTCTTCATGTTTCTTTTCTAAGTCTCTAGAGATTGCAGCATCAATTTGCAGCCAAGCTACATCTCCAGGGTGTTTAAGTGTCGGGCAGCTTCTGCAGGGAAGGTGCACGAGGGTGTGGTACCTGAATTACTGGAGAAGAAGGAAACAGGAGACTTCTGTAGAAGCTGTTGGGAGGTGAGGGTGGAGGAGAACTACAGGATAGAATAGTTTTCATAGTTATTTTGACTTATAGGATAAGCAAAGAGTTGCTCAACATCGGAGTCGAGAAAATAGAACCAACAACTGAAAACAATTTTTAGTAATACATTTATTTTTAGGAGCCTTAAAAGCAAGAAATCCAATTCGCAACTTTTTTTTTTTTTTTATGAGATGCTGTCTGCAAGACTAAATTTGTTCTACTTTTTATCTGATTAGGGTCTATCTTGAGGAATGAGTAGCTATAACAATCTTGTGATACAAATCTTAGGATTAATCTTTTTTTTTTTTTCTACTTCCATTCTGACTGTCCAGAAGGCTAGTCCCTAGCCAGTTATAGCTGAGCTTAAGCTTTTGTTCCTTCTTTCTTGCACTTAGCTTTCTGACATATCTAAACAGCAGTCATTCCTTTCTTAGCTTTTCTTATGAACTTGAAGTCTTTAATCATCTTCTCTTAAAAACAGTTTTCTCTTTTGTTCATCATGGTAGGTCTTGCATCTCCTTCTGTTTGGTGAATGTATTTTTTAATGTGGGTGACACTTGTGGTTCCTTTAGATGGGGTCATGCTGTGGTGTGTAAAAGGTTACTAACACTTCTCTAGCAATACTAGAAAAGATGTAACAAGATCCATTTATATCGTGATTGTAAAGCTGTTGTGTAGTCATCTTGCATTTACTGGTGATGTCTACATCTCTTAACTTGTTGCCACTTCATGAACTCTCAGCTTGTACCAGAAATCCACAGCAGTGTTTTCACTTGAAAGTGGTCCTTCTTCTGCAACTTCATGTGATGTCCCCTGTCAATATCATGACTTCTGGACTCTGCCTCTCAACTAAAGACTTAGGCATTTTCAGTAACAGCTTTTTGTACCCATTGACAAAAATTGGGCAAGTCACTAAAACATTTTGTATCTCTGTTGTTGATCTAGCAAAATCTGCTTGTTATGGCTTCCTGGTCGACTTCTTAACCACACTGCACTTCTTATACTACCTTTGTAGCCTTGTTGATGTTACAGCTGAGTTTTATGTGTAGTGAAGTAACATCTTGACAGAAAAAGACTAGTCCAACCCATCCCTTACATTTCATTATACATCTATTTATTTTAATACAATTACACAACTATTTACATTGGGTTTCAGTTTGCTTCCTTGTTTCTCAATTTGAAACATAGGTGTGCTGTAGGATACTGCTGAGGCAAAATTCAGCCTGGTGGTTCCTGTATGCGGTTTGAAATACAGATGCTGAACTACTACTTCCCAGCTACAGCACCCAGGCTAATTAGACTTACTGCCAGACTTGCCAGTCCTTGTTGCCAGGCTTAAAAGTGTTGAGTCAGTTCTCTTGAGTGTTACAGGCCACAAACTGGGCTTCCCTGCAGTCCTGCAACCTGTCAAAAGCTTCTGCTGCGAGAGCTGATATTGCAGCTGAAAACAGGTACCTGAGATGACTGATGATTGTTCAGCTGCACCACTGTGAAAATCCATGTTTCTTCATCTTCAAGTGCCTCCACACAGAACTATTTAGTGCTATATAGTCCATTTTGGTTTATGCTGTCATAGTATATGATTTTAAAAGAAAAATCCTTTAAAAAGGAGGAAGCCCAAACAGCTAAGTAAGATGCCCAGTAGCTTTGGTGTTTTTTTGGCTGTTAAAGCTGTTGGTCCCTTAGACTGTTGTCATTAAAGTGTTGCCTATTTTGGTCTCAGTGCTGTCATTTAGGCTGAAGAGGCAGCAAGATGGCTGGATACGAGCTGAAGTGCTGGTTCCTTTTGTTCGTTAAGGAAACTAACCAGTAATTGCAGGGAGAAATCCCATTAAGAAAATGAAGCAAGGCTATGTGGGCATGCAGTGTGTGGAGGGGGGTGCAGCCTTTTTGCTTTGAACAAACAAGAAGCTGGTAGGTGTGTGCAAAAAAGCTGATGGTATTCAGCAGGCAGGGATGGGCTGGTAGATTTGTCTATGGGGAAATGCAAGTTTCTCTTGAGCAACTAGGAGTGGATGGCAGCTTTAGAATAAGCCTGCAGGAGAGACCGCTTGGTACGGTGAGGACCGACAGCTTCCACAGGTTGGAATTGTTTATGCATTCAGTGTTCTGCAAATAGTAGTTTTACATAAAAATCCTCCTGTCTTAGGGTCTGGGCAGAGGGTAGGCAAGGAAATTCTTACTTTTCAGTGCAGAGAACAAGGCACGCCTTTAAAGCAGCAAGAGCAAATAGTAATAAACATAAATTTTGTACCAATTTGAGTAACTGAAATAATTTTAAAACCTAATTTAATTTTTTTTCCATCAACTACATCTTATACAAATAAATGAGCAGTTATTTTTAAGAATCTTGAATATAAACTTTGAGTGCATTCTAATTACTTTGGCATCTGTAACAGTGCTTTATGTAATCAAATATGGTACTGAAAGCCCTACTTTAGTGTTCAGCCAGCAGTTGCTAGTGGCAGACCTAAAATAGTTTCATATGCAAAAAAAGGCTTCAAGCTTTTCAATTTTTAATTTTGCCTTTGTTGTTCAGCCTTGTACATGAGATGCAAGCAGATGGGAGATTTTTTTAATATTGAGACAGTAGTGAGGACAGTAGTGAGCAATATAACAAATGTATTGCTACACACCTACAGGATATGTAGATTTATTTTTTTGTTCCCCCCCTCTGTAGCAGGGCATACACTTGCGTGTCAACTATCTTATTCTTGACTTAAAAATTATAAGCTCCTAGTCTTATAGCTCCTTTTTGGTCTGATTTAATAACTATTTATTTGCTTGTAGAATGCCAAGATAAAGTGTGGGGGTTTTATGTGTTGTTACAGTGGTCACAGTTTCATCATTTAAAAAAAAAAAAAATAGTGCTCCTCAGTTTTGTACAGCTCTTGCTTCATATTAGCAATGGTTTTATTAAAGGAAAGCATAAAATGTTATTTTTATGTGTGTTGGTCTAAATGGTCTGAAAGCCAGA